GGTCCATGAACGCGTTGCGCTGGACAGTAGGGCCACGCTGGATGCCGGGATGGAGGTTTGCAGCTGAATGACCAACGAAGGGGAAGGCATGAACACCACGACCAGTAGCCTGTGGATGACTGCTCTGCATCGATGCATTGTTGCGCTTGATCATATCACCGAGCATCTGGTTCTGCCTAGCCAACTCTGTCTTCTGGCGCTGGTTCTCAGATGTCAAGGTGTTGACTTGATTGCGCAACTCCATCATCTTACTCTCAACGATGCGGTTCCAGTTCGCAATGGTGCCGGCGTTCTGGAAGATCGGGGTCTCGCCGTCAACAATGTCGATATTGTCTTCCGAAACCTGCGAACCAGTTGGCGATAGCGGAGTTTCAATCCTGTTCCGACCATGCTCGATCATGGTTACGAGGCGGGACTTGGCTTTCATGATCATGATGGTGTCCATATCTCGGAGCTTGATGTCGGGACGCTCGGGATCATGAACATCGCTGAAAATCATATCGTAGTCGATCTTGATGTAACGTGCTCCCATGTCATCATCCGGGCCACCTAGCGCGTATTGGTATATGAAGACCCAGTCTATGCCGTACTGTTTGCCTCGCTGTTGACAATAGTAATCCAAACGAGGGCCAAACTTCTGCGACGCGCGGATCGTGAGGATGGAGAAAATGGGAGTGCCATTGATGTCGTATGTATTGCTATGAATACGAAGTGTCATTACGGGATCGTTCTCGTCTGCTACGGGTAGAGCAGAACGTTGTAAAGCAATCTAAACTTGTCAGTGACTAGATGTTAGAGTCGGGAAAGAATCCCACTTACTGGCTGTGTGAGCTCCCGAGCTACCGGTCTCTTCGTAGTCGGAGCAGCCGTATTCATCCCTTGAAGCTGCCCTTGTGTCGGCAAGTGCAAGTCGGCGGCTGGCTGGGCCGAGGTCTGACGAGAAGGCATGCGAGATCCAGGCGCGCTTGCAAGGAACTCGTTGGGCCGGATGTTACGACGAGCAGCTTCCTCATACACCTTGAAGTTGGCGGATTGGATGGGTCGGAAGCGCGTCAAACGAGACTCAGGGGAATGCACATGGTTGAACTGGGTGCGATGTTCGTCCGGTGCCTGTGGCGCTGGACGAGTTGGTATAGGCACACGCACTCCGTTGTTGTGTCGAGTTGCCATGGCTGCGATACGTCTCTGTTGCGCATTCAACTTCTTGAGCAACTCATCACCATCTATCGCAGATTGATTCAGGACCTCTCCATTCCGCCCCACAATATATGTCATAAGACCAGAACTATTGTGGATATTTGGCCAGCGAGCTAGAGCTTGCTGCGGAGTCATGACATCGCGACCATTGTATTGTTGGCCGGGTATCAAGGGTGGTATGGGAACCTGCTGCTGCGGAACTGGGTGTCCTCGGGCTTGATCTCGCTGGACGTGCTGGGACATGAGTGTCGACTGCGGGTGTAGTGTAGATGGAACGTGATCGCGCGATTGTAGGTGCGTCGAGGATCTCAAGCCGCCAACTGGAATTGCGGTCATTAGCAGTCATTCAAGATAAGGAGTTTTTGGAGGACACGTACTGTTCTCTTCGATATCCATATGATACTGGGGCGACCTCTCAAGGTCAGACTGCGACGCAAACGGAGGATACAAACGGCCAGCTTCCTGACTTGGTCCAGTGGCTGTAGTCGTCTCTTTCTTGGCAACAGCAGTTGCACGCTTGGCGACCGGCTTGGACTTTGGACTCGCACCCGGTGAGTCGGTGGCCTTACGCTTGCCTTTGTCGTCCTTGGCAACTGTGCCAGCGCGACTAGATCTAGGAGCTAATTTGTACGGCTGTGTGGGTGTATCTGTGAGTAACTCTGGGTTGCAGTCGGACACTTGTTCTTTGTGCTTGGTACATGCAAGTCCCTGCTGCAGGCAATGTTTACAGGCGTCGTCGGTATAATAGGCATCGCATGTAGACTCGTGGGCCTTGCAACACTCGTCGCAAATTTTCCAACATGAGTCTTTGATGTGTCGCTGATTCAAAATTAGCAGTGTTTATCTGAAGAATATGGACGAACGACGAACCTCTATAGAATACTTCTTGGACATCTGGGCATCGCACCGTGGACAGGCAAAGACGCTGTCACTCATGCTACCCCCGAGGCGACTCTTTGCACATTTGGATCTGGTATCCCTTGTATGGCGCTATAGTTAGGTCAGTACGTGAAGATGAAACGTGGGCTTCTGATACGTACTTTGAGCTTCGCTTCGCTGACATATGTCTTGCCACAATACTGGCATGCGTATGGCTTCTTGGTGTCGGAACTTTCGTCCGTAGACTCTTCGCCGTCATCGGTTTTGAGCGCTTCGACGCGTCCATCGTTAACTCGCATCGCGCTGCTCACCTCTAGGGAGGGAGTTTCGGGAAGTTCTGATAACGGCGAGCTGTCTGCCACTGGGGACGTGCTAGATGACTGAGTCTGCGCCGCACTATATATTGTAAGCCTTCATTTGAAAAGCGTCGTTCGTGACTACATACCCGAACCGATCTTGATCGCTGTCCTGACTCCGCTCCATATTGAACTGGTCTCAGGGCAGATTATGAGTCGAAAGAGTGAGAGAAATCGTTCAAGCCAGAGGAGACGATATGCTCTTTATAGCAGCAGAGATATGAAGGACGTGCAGAGAAAGTAGAAGATTCGAATCATCTGACCAAGGCGCGGTAGAGTGAAGAAGGTCAGCAGGCGCGTGTGATCGACGAAAGACTTCCGTTATGGGCACTGGTGAGCAGTGAGGGCTGATGAAAAGCCTTCAACAAGACCCTGAAAGAAATTTGCAAACGCTCACCACTCCTACCAACGTTGCCTGGAGCAGTTAAAGACCGTCCAGAACCGTCAGTGCGCTCAGTCAGTGAGAGCTTTCCTTGAAGCGATGACGCAACTTGTGGTCCGCGCGTCAAAATAGAGATAATGGGGTGTTCTGATCATAACCACCTTGTAGATTTTGTGACATATTCACGAGACAAAGACCGTACAGTCATGTTGCCGGTCGCTGTCTACTGACCTTAGTCAACAGGGATACCTGTCACGATCGATATGCGGACTGTGGAGATGCGTCGTGCATGCTAGATATCATCTGTATCGGTAGGAAGATGAAGCGCGTCTTGACAGGATTCTGACACTTGTGATATAAAACTGCTCAATCCCACTGGAACACCTGAGTATACACCGGGCTCCGAAAAGCACGAGCGAAGGTGGAATAGTCTAGCACAGGAAGGCCGGAATAGGTGACTAAGAGAACCAAAGATTTCTGGGGCTGCTGAAGATAGCCCTGAACATACTGTAGTTCATCGGCTTGGTCTTCTTGTTTGTGAAAATGATGAATGTGCTGAGATTACACCTGGGCAGCCAACATGAACGGCCATGGCGAAACAAAAGAGGAGAATTGAGATGGAGATTGACTATTGGATCAGCACAAGCGCGTCGATAGCTTTGTCCTGTAAGATGCGTCCATATCGTGTACGAATTGGTGGGGGTGAACTGAGGTGAAGAGGGCACATTTCCCGAGGTCTGGTTGACGCGAGAGATGACGCGCCATGGACCCACTCTTGGCAGCGTTCCTACGCCCACACGGAGCAGCCATGCTTGAGCTTCTAAGAACTCCACGAGAATGCTGTCGTGAACAGCGCAAGTGTTGTACGTTACAATTTTCTATATCACCACCTGAACATGCAGGCTATGGGATGTTTCTTGGCTCTGTTTGATCAGCCCGCTCTTGGCTGATCAGGCAGCTCATCATGCAGCAGCTACCGTACACGTGATTCATTTGTGGACACTCTTTCGCTACACTTATCTTGTTTGAAAGATCTATAGATCTTCTCCCTGGCTCGATCGCGATGGAGGCTTCAGGTAAATTGATGAACTTTCACGACTGGATAATCACCTGACTTACCTAGGTACATAGTATCTCAACGCCCCAAAAACCGCGAGATCCGCGTCTTGGATCTACTACCTGGCCTTCCCGACGAAACAATTGAGTGCCATATCCGAAACGTTAGTGTCGATGGAGATGCGCAATACGAAGCGCTATCATATGTTTGGGGTGATGCTGTCGAGAAAAGAAGTCTTCAAGTGTCAGGAAGCCCCATCAACATCTCGCCAAACCTCCACGACGCTCTTCGACGCTTACGCTATCCAAACCAAATTCGCACGCTATGGGTTGACCAAATATGCATCAACCAGTGGGATATGGAAGAGAAGGCCAGCCAAGTTGCCTTGATGCGAGAAATCTACAGTAAATGCGCACATTGCATTTTATGGCTGGGTGAGATCCAATATGCCGAACATGGCATAGATGGGGCGGACACACACGCAGTATTTGCGTTCTTCGAAGCCGTGGCCAACAGACCAGCAATTAGAAACGCATCAGCAGGAGAGGCCCACGACTTGTCTAGTAAAGGCGTTGACCCCGAGGATGGCCTCCCCACGCTCTTTCAAGAAGGTGCCGCAGGCGTGACGGCTCGGAAGGCCTTTGCAGCCTTTGCTATGTATGGGAATACCTGGTGGGAGCGCATCTGGACAATTCAAGAGTCAATACTGCCCCACTCGGCTGAGTTCAGATGGGGCCCACTCTCAGTGTCACGGCGCAACATACTCCTAGTGGTACAGCACCTGCGTGGCGACAATCTTCGCTCTTTCCCACCCAGGTTTCGATATCAGCGCATCATGCATACCCCACTTCTCCGTAGTCTTCTGTATCCTGTCAATGGGTTTCTACATTCGACTGATGGCGAGTCGGGGTTAGACTTGTTCATGCGCTGGCGCCATCGGAAAGCTACCGATCCACGCGATAAGATCTATGGGCTATTGGGCTTGCTTGATGCGCGTCAGATTACAGAGACTCTTCCACACGCTCAAGCGCGTAGTTACTCGATACCCGCATCTTTATTATTTGCAATGGTTACAAGCGATCTACTGCTATTTGGAGAAGGTCTTAGGCCTCTGATTGCGTCCAGCGAGATGCCGCATGTCACCCCCGGTCTACCGAGCTGGTCGATCGACTTCGCATGCTCCAACCGTGTAGGCAAGCGCCAGCTGAAGTGGTGGAATCACTCGCATCGATACAGGCAGTTCTCGGCAGGTGGTAGAATCGAGCGCGAACAAGAGCTCGAGAAGGGAGGCTCGGTACCGAAGGTATCAAGTGATTGGACTTGTTTATCCTTACCAGGTCTGCTGGTCGACCAAGTAGAGCAAGTCAACAGCGTATACGAAGTTTCTGATGAGGAGGACCTTGACTATCGGAAGATACGGGACATAATGTCGGACGCAAGACAACTAGTGAAAGGACGAGATAGCTATAAACGTGATCCGGCACAGTCGTGCGAAGCCCTGTGGCGGACCATGATCAGTGATCTCGTCATGGCTGAGTATCCTATCGAACGAGCGAAAGCAACACACGCTTCGGAATTTCTCGAGATCGAACGCGCACTCAACAATGAACAATTCTCGCAACAAGGCCACCAGTCCAGTTATTCTCCACACGGAATGAGCGGGCTATTTGAATCTCTCTGTGGTATGGTACCGAATCATGCTTTCTTCATTACAAAGAGAGGTTACCTCGGTATGGGCCCGCCTACTACCTCGCCGGGAGACCAGATCTGGGTCTTTTATAACGGCAACGTACCATTTGTCATGCGGAAAAGAAACACGGAAGAAGTCGAGAATGGATATCATGAGCTTCGTCTTGTTGGAGACGCGTATGTACACGGCATCATGGACGGCCAGGCTATCTCAGGCAAGCATGTCACTCAGACAGCTCACATTTACTAAAGTGGAAGGTCTTCGCTTCTGTAATCGCGTGGCATACCAAGTGGTTCGTCAATGGGAGTGGGGGATATCGTACCGCCGTAGGTCTTTGCAGATATTCAAGCAGACGCTTCACCAAGTTCATCGACAGGTACCCAAAGCACCCTTGCATCCCTCTGCAGGCCCTCCCCATCCAACTGCCTCTTCACAACCACGATGACCATGATGTCTCTCTTCTGCAACGGCTTGAGATCCCACCCCAGGACTTCCGGCCTCTGAACTTCATCTGGAATCGAAACATTCCACTCCAACTTGTTGGCGTTCTCGTGAAATACCGCCTCCCCGTCTACGAAGACCTCCAGTGACGTTGCTGGCGATGGATGGTCAGAGCCACCGTTGGCGACCATGGAGACTTGGATAGTGAGGCCCAAGATAGCGTTGGAGACAGCTGCGACGCACTCAATAAGAGGCTTGTTATTGGGTGGCGAGGAGAATGCCTTTCGGATGATATCGGTGGGTAGGGCGGTAAGAGGAGGCGGTGTACGTCTCTTGGTCGCCCGTTCAAACGCATATGCATACTCCAACAGCTTGGTATCTTCGTAAGCCTTCCCAGCGAATGTGATGTTCACAGGCATGTTCTTGTCGCTCATGACACCCATGGGTACACTAACAGTAGGTACACCGAGATGCCTGATCGCGCGATTACCGTTGGAGTATTTCACGCCATTCTGGAGACTATGTGTCGTGCTGTCAATGTCGAATTCAAGATCTGCGAGACCGACGTCGCCTTGCGCAGGAAATGCAACGACATCCAGCCCATTCTTGTCCATCCAATCTTCTAGATCGCGTTTCCTTTGGGCTTCGAGAGCTTTGAGAGCTTGCTCCATACCCTGGATGTCATGTATACTACCATCTTGGACCATCTTGGGCAGACCGGGGTAATCAATCCAATTCCTCACTTCGAGAAAGCGATCCGGCTTGTAGTCTGGTGGCTTTGGGAATAGCATCGCGGGATCTTTGATGTCGGCTAAGCACTTGATGTTGGAATCATTGTTATCTACGAGAAAAGCGTTCCACGCTTGGGCAATAAGAATGCCTCGCTCGAGGAGGTTCCAGTTCGCGGGACGTCCATCGACGTTGTTCGCTTCACCCGAAACGGAGTCGTTTTCGTAATTTGTTACCAGAGGGAAATCGGTGTAGACAATCTCTGCCCCCATGGACTTAATATCTTCTGCTGCCCGTTGCCATATTGCGACGACCTCTGGTGAGACGTAAGGATGCTTTGCGTGCGGATCTGAGTCTTTCTGGCCAGTGTACATCTTCGGCACCCCAATCTTCTTACCTCGCAGCGCTTCGCCGTTTCGTAGAGTAGTGTAATCGATCGAAGGAGGCTGAGTTATCTGCACATGCTTTTGTTCGCGTATGAAGTCCCCGGATGTGTCTTCATCTGGAGTAGCGATGACATTCAGTATTTCCAACATGTCATCCACGGATCGCGCATACGGGGTTGGCACATCGCATGTGATGTACAAAGGCCATAATCCGCGACAGCTCAAGAGTCCCTTCGACGGCGTATAGCATACGATGGCGTTATTGGACGCTGGACTTCGTCCGCTGCTGACGGTCTCGCTGCCCATGCCGAAGACTGCCATGCTGGACGTCACAGAGGTTGCAGCACCATTTGAAGACCCAGATGAGAAGGCGCCAGTGAGGTACTTTGAGTTATACGGCGACTCTGCACGACCATACATGCCTCTCTGCATACCACCCGCAGCCATCGGTGGCATGTTAGTCTTTCCAATCAAGATCGCTCCCGCAGCTCGAAGCTTCTCAGCGATTGCAGAGTCGCCGCTTGACATGACACCTTTCAGAGCAGGTGAGCCATCTGTGACTGTCATGCCGGCAACTTTGTAGCTGTCTTTGATCGTATAAGGTATACCTTCCAAAGGTCGAGGCTTGAGACCTTGGGCACGCCGAGCATCGGAAGCTGCTGCATCTTGGAGGACCTTCTCGTTGAATACCGTAAAGGCTTTCAGACCTTGGATAGTGTCGAACTTGGCAATGCGATTCAGACAGCTGATGACAAGATCCACGCTGGTAATCCGTTGTTCGTCGAGAGCTTCTAGATGATGACCGATACTAGCTTCGACAATGTTAAAGTCTTGAGGATTTAGACCAAGACTCTAGATCAGGAAATGAGTCAGTCAATGTCATGCCGTTGGTGGTCGCGAACATACACTATTGCCTGCCATGTTTCAGGAACAGCTTAGCTCAACGAAGGTGTTCCAAAAGGTAGTGAGTCCCAATTCTTGTGGGCGTGTGGTGACGCCAGCGTTGTCGACTGTATGTTCGTGGTCCCAGGCGGGAGCAGGATGGGCCGACGTAATCGTGTCTGGGAGATAGTCACTTCCCCACTTCTGGATAGTCGGTTGGGCTTTCCCTGTACGGCTAGCTCCATGTAGTGTACGATTGTAGAAGCAGGTGCGTTCCGTATCCATTCCGCATACGGCTTGTATCGCTCATAAAGATGCGTTTAGGGCAGGCGCAATCGCCGCGGCAGCACATGGTCACCATGACCGGACTGTGGAAAATGACATGGACAACGTAAGGGCTCATACTGCTCGAATACCTCAACTGTCAAAAAAGCTAAACGCTCGAATATATGTGAATTGTGCCGAAACCCAGTAAGCCCTCTTACCATGGTAACAAATCCCCTAGGCTGTACTTGCCCAGAGCGCCTTGAACCTCGTACTTCCAGCCACCAAACCACAGGCACCCATCCATCCCAGATTCCAGCCTGGCAAGCCTCCAGTCGTGCTGCTGAAGTGCAGCGCCATGGGCAACCACGCGCTTGCGATAACAAAATCGGTCCACCACCTGTTGTCAAACTTCTTGTCCTCTTCGTCCTGATATTCCGCAATCGCGCGGCCATCGGCAACCATCTGTTGCCTAGTCACCCTCCTGCGGCCCTCGAGCTGCCACTCGCGCATCAAGCGGAGGAAGTCGCACGACACGCCGCCTAGCCAACAGCGGTAGGCATACAGGTATAAACGGGCAGTCGTCGAATCGCCGCGATTGAGGGTGGAGATGAAGCGGGGCGAGATGACGCCCGAGTCGGCGAGGAGGGAGATGTTCTCTAGGGCTTGGTAGGAGAAGTAGCTGCTCGCCTGCAGCATGGCGATGCGGTGCAGCACGACATCTGTGCCGGCTTTGGGGCCTGAGGCTAGCGAGCGCAACCAGGCGTACAGCGGGAAGAGACCAAACAGCCTCAGCGTTGTGCGCGCTTTCGAGATGAGGACGGCGAGCGCAGCGATGGGCGGCACCGTCCCATTGTTCAATAGCGTTGCGGCGGAGATCTTTGCATCGTCGCAAGCGGGGCGGATCAGCGTGAGGAGCCTTGTCGCGAAGCTGGATATGGACGGCGATTTGGTCTGCACGTAGGCGAGGATGTAGAGGGAGTAGTTGAATGTGGAGAGGAATGCGGAGAGGCCGCCTGGGGAAGCTAGGAGTCTGCCCTACATTAGCTCATGCCTCTGACCCTCACAACGACACACGCTCGACCTGACGTACTTGTTCAGCCTCAGAATCGTTTGGTCCACTTTCTTGACGCCTGCAAGCAAGTCGGTCCTGTCCAGGTCCCTCGGATCCGCCCTGGGTGCGGCATCCGCTATCTTATCCACCACCTCCTTGACGTCAGGGGTGTCAGTCACATTGGACGCTTCGGGCTGGGTGGGCTTCTCGGTTTCGTCAGACATGGCGAGATTGGTCCGTCTATGTAATGATGAGCATGCAGGAGGTCAGGAAGTCTGGGTAGAATGAGGCAAAGGGTTATGCTTCTCCGCACGCAAGCCATGAGGAGCTCATTGCCGCTATCCCCGTGAGCCGAGGCACTGCCACCAGCGGTGTGCCATCCTCTCAACACCACCTGCATCGTGCTTTTTGACTTGGATCTTTTTGAACTTTGGTTTTTGTTTGCGATACGGGCGCAAATCTACAGACATGGACGCGCTTTGAATCGTATTATGAGCGGGAACCCCCGTCTCTTGCGCTCCGCACTTCATCAAACGCCTTCGACAAACCCCCGGGTTCCACGCCGCTCCACATCCTCTGCATCAAGCCTCTTGATCACATCCTCAATCTCCTCCCAAGCTGCGCGCCCTCGTTCCCCGGATTCGCTCTTTATCGCATCTAGCGTTCGTCTTCGCCGCTCCTTGGGCTCGCTCCTGAGTTGAGTGAGGAACAGGCGTTTCGACTCTTCGAGCTGGGTGCGAGCTTTGTCTAGCACTTGGTCCGTCGGCTTGTTGTCTTGCTCAACGTCATTCAATCCACTCTCGAGAAATAGTAGACTGATGCGTGGACTGAGCGTTAGCTTGTTATTCCTCTCACTCTATGGGAAAATAGAGGACTCCCGTCAAAACATACCGCATCTGCGCCAGACTGTATAGCTTCTCTTCTATCTCAGCTCTGTCCCAGGTGCTCCTTGCCTGCCGCCATACCAGATGCCATTTCCCTGTTGCGACATTGCCAGGAAGCTTCCTTGCTATCTCCTTATCGAGATCGTCGAGCCGTTTGAAGAACTCAGTGCTGATAGCGTCTCTGCGTTCTATCGACCATGCAAAGTCTCGTAGTCGTGTCGCTTGCGCCTGCACTGCAGCCCAGTCGCTATCACTTTTCACTCGATAGAGCGCAGCCACCTGGTAGAGAGTGCCAGCTATCAGAATGTACGCGAATGTTAAGATGGAAAGGACGTTGGCGGTAGAAGAGAGTGCGCTGTCGCGACAGTCGCACGTGCTGTAAAGTGGTGTCTCCATGGGGTTGATATGAGACACGTTGATGTAGGTCTCACCAACGGCAGATTGGTTACTCGAGGAAGGCTGGGGAGCTTCCATTCCTTCGAGAAGTTCCCCGCCAGCTTACTTGCGATAGTAGACTGCATACTGACTTGCGTCGGTGTTGGTTCGGTTGCGGCTAAGTGCCTGCAGCACACATGTGCTCAGCCTTGTCGTCCAAGACTTGGGTAGGTG